TGATATTTGCCATATTGCACTTTACTTTTTCCTCAGCACAGGGTGCCAGCTTGTTTCTTCAAATTAAGACAATATGCTTATAGTAATGAACCTTATTGGCCATCTATCTTCCTTTTGTAATCTGGCTCTCATCAAGCTGAAATGAAGCCATTTCTTCTGACTGTGGCTGATTAAACACAGAGTAAACCTAGATCTCTAAGGAGGCTCTAATGATTCTCCACAGACCTAATGTCAGCCCGGCACCTGCAGCATTCAGCTTCCCCATTTCCATCATAAAATGAAGCATCTGTTACAGAGAAGTGTTATCTTTTTATCATTGATGGTATCTTTCTGTTTGAATTCACCTACCCCATTTGGTATAAATTACAGCCATTTCATAAGTAATGAATGGTCACACAGGATGCACTCTGGATATTGGGGGTTAAAAGGGCATGAATGCCATTTACTAAACCTTTATTTAACTTGGTGAAAGTTAAAACTCTGTGGGGCTTATGTACAACCCTCTTTCTCACAGCAAACAAAGGTAAAATGTTATCACTGCTTAGTACTCAAGCATCTTGATATTGTTTATCTAAGTACTAGCCTTTGATGATTTTTTTTGACAGGTTCTGGGGAAACTATTAGATGCAGAAAGTGATTCATTCAGGCCAAGGATATTTCTGTCTAAATATCTTTTAGTAACTTGCTTAAAAATAGTCCTAACAGTTCCAAGTGGACTAGACTTGTTCAATACAAGGATTAGATATAAATGATGCAAAGTCCAACTGAAGTCAATGGAAGTCTTTCCATTGATACCAATAAGATTTAGATCAGGCCACTTGAGTATCTGCAAAGATCAGGTAGGTGTTCATAATATCTACCCCACCCACACTGATTGTTCTATAATTTGAGACCCTTTGGAAAAGACATCTCTGCTTCATAAGCCATTTTCTTTTGATTTGTGATTTTTCTGGCAGGCATTTCCATTCTTTCCTGACAATGAGATGGACAGTGTCATACCTGGAGCAGTGAATGAAAAGAAACATTCAAAAACATTTTAGATTCACAAGCAAAGCTTTGTCTATTGCTTTTAAAGTATCCGTATAGCCTTTAAGAGAGTCTGAATTTATATGTGGCAATACCAAATAATGCCCTCCCACTAACCTCTAGCTACAGGGATATCTGAGATGGGCTCAGTGACTGCACAGTATCTTTGATAGTTGCAGGGATTTTTCATCTGGTCCATTATTATTAATTATTTGCATTATAATCGCACTTAGAGGACCAACTGAGATCAGAGCATCATGTGTTAGATGCTTCACGTATGGACAGTAGGAAAAAGTCCATGCCACAGAGGGCTGACACTGTACATAGACAAGGCAGACAAAGAACAGGAGAAAAGAAGGCTCACTATCCCCATTTCACAAATGGGAAACTGAGGCACAGAGTGATTAACTAACTTGCCCAAGGTCACACATGAAGTCTGTGGTACAGCCAGGAATTGGATTCAGATATCCTGACCCTCCATCCATGGCCTTAGCTGCCAGCCCATCCTTCCTCACCCATAACTATATATTTTCTGTGGTTTTTCCAGAAAAGTCAGGATATGTGCTTAAAATAAAGAAATGACAGTTGTTTCTCTGTTTCAATGCTCTAGTTGGGCAATGCCACAGCATCTAGCTGTGTAAAACTGTGGAAAAATACACCGGGTTATAGAGCTGTTTGTCTAATTAGCACTTCACTTGATAAGGCTGATATTTCATTACTCTAACACATCACCAACTGGATTAATAGAAGTCATATATCTTTAATCCAAGGGAAAGAACAACTATGCTATGTATGGTTGATTTAAGTTCTATACAGGCATGATTGGCATGCAACATGTAGCCTTAATGTAAAAGAAAGATTAAATAGATTGTTGTTTCTGATGTTCAGACGTTTGAATGAGGCACAACTGGATAGCCACCTTGTCTTGATTTCACAAAAAACAACAAGCATCTTCTGCATATAAAGTAAAAGAAAGAATGTTCTTGTGGCTCTCTCACACCAGCTGGAGTCAATTCTACTGGGTTCTATTCCTGGGTGTGTCCAAATTCCAGTATTTCCATGGGTATGCAACTTAATCTTTTTTGTGCCTCAATTTTCCCATTTATGAAATGGGGATGATTACATTGACACCCCTCTGGTATAGATCAAAGTAGCATTCATTAACAAATGGAAGGTGCTAATGAAGTACAAAGTGGTAATATCCTAATCATTATTATACTGAATTACAATATTGAAAAATCAAATACAATCAGAAGGTGTAAGCCCCCTCCTTCCAAAGAGATAAGTCCTCCTCCTGCCCCCTCCAAAAATTGTTGTCCACAACCCTTTGTGTGGGTCATTTGCCTTGAGACTCTTCATGAGGTTGTTTATTAATCAGTTTGTCAAACTATTTTAATATTTGTAATATTTTACCGTATTTTCCATATTGTCTGATTTTTCAAGTTATGACTTCTAAGAAAATGCTAGTTCTTTGGGGGTAATTTATTAATGAGCAAGTGAACTACCATTAATTTTTTCTTCCATTATCACCATCATAGTAGAGATGGGTGAATGTGGTTTGTGCCAGGATACATTTTCATGATCATTTTGCAAGCCTTCTGTCAGTGTTCACTTTATACTAGTCATTTCTATGCCAAACAAACTCATATTGTCCTGTCACAAGAATACTCACTTGGTATTTGGAATAATTAGGGGATGAGTCACTTTATATAGTAGTTAGCATTAGTGATACATGGGGCCAATGATTGATGAATCCAATGTACATTAGACTTGTGTAGACTCAAAATATGCAGCAGAAAACCACAATTAATTCAGAAGAGACACAGTGTGGCTGTGGATAGTGTCTTGTAAAAGAAGAATCCAAGCCAAGCAGAATTGAGATAACCCTAGTGATGCAAACAGTTCAGTCTCAAGACAAGAGCTGGTTGAAAAATGGAAAACACAATTTCATGAAAAAATCAAAATATTGAAGTTATGACCATTTTGTAAGGTTCAAAATGGAACATTTTTTCAAATCTTTTCACAACAAAATCTAAATTTTGAATGTCACTGTTCCCCCTTTCTGTCCATTTTTCTCTTGTTTTCCCTTTTTTGGTATTCGGTACAATAGATACGAAGGATATCCAGAGTTTTGTTTTGTTTTGGAAAAGTTAGAGTGGCAGAAGGAAAACTGAACCTAACTCAGCCACTCTGGAAAGTTACAGACTTTCTTTTTTTCCATTATGTAACTTCTCCAAATTTAAAGATTTGTAAAAGTCAGAGTGGAAACCAGAAAAATGATAATAATGAAAGTCGGGGGTGAGGGGGGAACCCTACATATATAATTCATTCTGTTGCAATTGGTGGCATAATGGAAAAAATAGTGAAAAAGGAGAAAAAACAATAATTAGATATCTCAGAATGTTTGGTTTTAAGAAAAAAGTGGAAATATTTGAAAACCTGAAAGCCTTCATCATGAAAATTTTTGGTTTAGAAATAAGTTTTTATTATTAACAATAATAATAATAATAACAATAATAAATTAAGTTTTGTTCCAATTTAAGTAAAAATGCTATAATTCATGGTTTGGTTGTGAAGGCACCATTCATAGATTCAGGTCATTCAGCACTTTTCATAGTTATCAAAATAATTTTGAAGTTGTGGCTAGAAATGAACAACTGGAGTCAAATATCAGGAGGGGGTACCAACCTACATCATTGCGTCTTACTGAATGTCAATAGCTTAAATATGTGAAAAATGTGGCAATCAGCACAGGTGAGAGAACCTCAAGACAAAATTGATCTTTTATGGTAATATCAGTTCACTATATCAACAACAATGCATCTGGACAATACATCAACTAGGCCATTGATTTTCATCATTTTAAAGGCCTTTACACTCATCGTGGCATAGTGAACAAAAGTTCTTCCGGACTCTCGCAATTTGAGACAGTTGATTACATACATTATTGCTAAGAATGTATCAGACAAGTAGTAAGTTAATAAAAGTCTGAGCATACTAGTATAAAATCATTTACGTTGCTTGGTTATACAGTTTATCTTGTCAGATTGGATTGTGGCTGTGGTCTTTTCTGACTCAACTAAGAAGACATAGGTCAAGATGAAATAAACATAATTGAGAATCCAAGATTAACTGATGAAGGATCAGTTGTTGAAATGGAGAAGGCCTCTTATGGGGAGCCATGTGATAATGATATTGCAGAAACATTCAAAAACAAAGATAGAACCAATCGGTGATGAGGCAAGTACATGAAGTATAGTCACTAAGCCAACGAAAAGATATGACCTGTTGTTATATATATTTTTAAATGTACTGTGGGTATAATTCACTTTGTGCAAATGGCCCACACAATGACGATGCATGATAAATTCCACTTGAGCCATCGTCTGAAAGTTTCTATAGAACTTAACCTCGTGTTAAGCCTCTGCACAGAGTTCAATTTCTCCGTCTCTGAGGTTCAGTTGTGAACTTCATTCAGAACCCAAAGTACAGTGCTACTCTGAAAAAAGAAGACTGTGTAATATAGCACCTGTATTTTCAATAGATTTACTCCTGTGTTTTTTTCAGAGTCATAGTCTTTTACAAACCGTAGGGGCAAAAGTTTTTATAGCATGGCAGAGCCAACATAGCCTTAGGAGTGAGAGACAGGCAGAAACTGATCAATAGAATCTTTATTACTAGTGATGATAATGCATGAGTCAGAAAGAACACAGCTAGACTTTCAGGTCTTAAGTTGAATTTGTAGTGTGATCAGTTAGAAAAATAACAATTGTTACTTATAAACAGTGCACATATGATCTGGAAGTCACTGAGCAGCAAACATGGAACGCACAATGCCATTTCTTCAGAGCAGAACCACACTTTACAAAACCAAAAATGGAGCAAAAGATCACTGTCACCTTAGCCAAATTAATTCAATCACTACACTGAAGGATATTTCCATCAAATAAAGATACATATTTATTGTATTATAGAATGAGGAGATGATAGAGGCAGAGTGCTCTCCTGTCGACTCCTGTTCTGCAGCTCCCCGAGAAGCGTAAGGTAAGTTGGTGGGAAAGCATCTCCCATCGACTCAGCGTGGTGTAGACACCGCTGTAAGTCAACCTACATTATGTTGACTTCAGTTACATAACTTACTTGCTGAAGTAGCGTAACTTAGGTCAACTTACAGCTGTAGTGTAGACCAGCCACTGTCCATCCAGATATCTAAATTTCTCACCAAGGTTCTTGTGTCTCAATTACTGCAACATCCCTCTCTGTCTGGCCTAGACAAATGCAAACTTGCACTGCTCAAATCCATTCAGAATGCTGCTGCAAAATCATTTCCCTAGCTTGTCGCTTTGACCATAACACCTCTCTCTTTCCATCCCTCCACTAGCTTCCCCTTCTCTATTACATCAAACATCAGCTACTTGTCTTTACTTTCAGGGCCCTTCAGGGCCTCTCAGCTCTCACTCAGTATCGAGAGGTCAGCTAATCCTTATCAGCCTCCACTGCCCACTTTCTGCATTTTCAAACAAGCACCTTCATATTTTATCCCATGCTGCCCCTCACACTTCTGAGGAGTTCCCCATGAACATCTGCAAAACTAAGTTATTATGCTCCATTAAACCCGCCTTAAAACTCTGCTTTTCCAATATGTCTACAAAAAGCATCACAATGTTCGGATGGTATGTTAGGATGCTGGGGTGCTCATACCATGGTCTATCATACTTACCAATGTTGTCTCATTGTTTAATTGTACTCTTCCATCTGTCTGACTGTATCCATCGGTAATCTCTTGTTTTATACGTAGATAGTAAGCTTTTGGGCAGGACCCATCTTTTTGTTCTGTGTTTGTACAGCATCTAGTACAGTGTTTCTCAAACTGGGGCCACCGCTTGTGTAGGGAAAGCCCCTGGCAGGCCGGGCCAGTTTGTTTACCTGGCCAGTGGGAGCCGCGATCGGCCGACCTGCGGACGCGGCAGGTAAACAAACCGGCCCGGCCTGCCAGGGGCTTTCCCTACACAAGCGGCGGCCCCAGTTTGAGAAGCACTGGTCTAGTACAATGGGGTTCTGGTTGATGACTGGAGCTTCTGGGTGCTACCATAATACAAATAATAACAAAAAATAGTACAATATTTATACACATTGGTTTGACATCAGAAAACCTTATATGAAATGTTATAGGGTATCTAAAAATCCAGATGTTTTTACTATAAATGGTGTGTCTGTGTATATATATATATATATATATATATATATATATATGTATGTATATATACATACATGTAACGCATGTCTTTTATTATACAAATATCAGGCAATTTACAAATTGATGTTTGTTAAAATTAATATTTTTGTCAGTCATAATTAGTCGCACATGAAACATTGTAACCTTCTAGTAGATTATCTTAATTAAAGTTTTATCAGTCCCTCAATGGAGGAATGATTATCAATTTTGATCACCCTGTGTTTCCTTCAGATAACAGTAGTATTAGATCATTCTGCATCTCTCTGAACAATATGCTAAATTTCATTTTAATTTCAAATGCATGCTGATTTTCTTTGTAATGTGTTTACTGCATCCTGGGCTTTCTCAATGGATACAATAGTCATACCAAATAACACAAAGGTGTGTAATTTGCCAGAAGCTGGGAATGGGTGACTGGGGATGGATCATTTGATGATTACCTATTCTGTTCATTCCCTCTGGGCTACCTGGCATTGGCCATTGTCGGAAGACAGAATACTGAACTAGATGGACCTTTGGTCTGACCCAGTATGGCCATTCTTATGTTCTTATGTTCTAAACAGACTGAACGAGCCAAATGGAAGAAAGCATAATCTGCTTTATTTTGTTTGTTTGTTTCCATATATGCCAAATATTCTTATGAGTTGTACTCCCTTTTATGCACAGCTGTGATTAAAACTGTATTTTTCTGGCCTTTTAGCATTTTGAAATATCCAATAACATTTTTAAATCAAAAAAGGATTCGGTAATTCCTATGAAATAATTATTCAAATACGCTAGCTAGCCCAGAGTGGGATCTCAATTACAATTATGCAAATTTGGTGTAACAGCATTGGTTTTAGTGAAGTTAATCTGGATTTCTTCATGAGTAGCTGAGATCAGCATCTGGCCAACAGGTAACATTTTGTTCCAGATTTCAAAACTTCTTGTGGAAATACAAATATTCTTTTAGTAAAAAGTTTAAACAATTTGTTACTGAAGTCTTAGTAGATGGATGGTCATTTTATTTCTATCTTTCAAAGGAAGTTTGTCTTTTATTATCAACAACTGCATAAAAACATTCTAGATTAAACTGATGCTAAAAGTTTCAAGCTTGATTCTGATCTCAGCTACACCAATGTGAATCAAGAGTATCTTTACCCTACCCTAACCACTGAAGTCAATGAAGCTGCACCAACATAGAATTGGAGTGAGATCAGAATCAGAGCCATTAACTTGAAAGGAGTTACTCCTGAATTACATGGCTTCCTTGACTTCAGTAGATTTGTTCCTGATTTACACCAGAATAACAGACATGAGAACCAGACCATTCATGCACAACAAATAGATTTAGGCCAGTGTTTCTCAAACTGGGGCCGCCGCTTGTGTAGGGAAAGCTCTGGACGGGACAGGATGTGAGAGGACAATCAGGGCCTAAATCAGTGTTTCTCAAACTGGAGCCACCGCTTGTGTAGGGAAAGCCCCTGGCGGGCCGGGCCAGTTTG